TTTAAAAACAAGTTAGCGGAGCAATTAAATTTCCTAGTCATCATCATCACTTATTAAAAACAATTAACATTATCTAACCTATTAACCTTAAATAGACTTTATCTAACCATCAACAACGATTCCAGTAAATCACTGATGTTCAGATGAAGTGTATTAGAGGTTAATAAGTTAGATGGACTTTTGATTTAGAAGAAATGTGTGCCGCAAACTGCTATCAATCTGCTGTCACGAAATACTGGAGTAGATAGAGCAACCTGAGGATTTACTCAGGAATAAACAATAGCATCTCAGTAACATGAACTTTATTCCTGATTAGTCTTTGATCTTACACAATCCTATATGTATTTACTCCCTCCAACTCTTCTCTTGATTTGGTTCACTTAAAAATCTTCCTCGTAGTTAAAGATTAATCAAAATTGCTAACATACAATGTAATATAGATTCATTTATTATTTTAAGTGGTGGAAGATGGAGCATCTCATATGTGTCTGATCAGATTTTAATCACTATATTCAGGTTTCTTTCGTTATTCTCAATAAATACACTGTTCTCATCCAGATACCTTCTTTTTCCATATTTAATTCTTTCTTTCAGGATTTTCAAATAACTAAAACTCTGAAAGACTGAACTTATCTATAGTGATATCAAATAATCCATTAAAATGATAAACTAACTCACTTCAATACTATACCAAAATACTATGTAGACAATAATAAAAGTAATTGCGAAAAAAGCATTCGATAGTGCAATAATAATGATAAAAATCACTGTTTACTGGTCTAATCTAATAATGTGGCCAATGCTTTTTATATGCGAATTATTTCATTTTAGCCTATTTAAGCTAATATTTTGTTTGATTACATAGAATGGAGAAAAAGTAAATTTCTTAGACTCAGAAAATCTAGTAATGCAATGGATAATCATAAACAGCGATTATTTTATCAGTTCGATAAACTGGTTCCCTTTTAGCAGTAATTTAATTTGTCGCGAATTTATCAATTGGACAATAATTTTGACTTTCGTACAAATGTATTTTATTTCTTCATGCTGGTCGTCTTCTTCTGTCTATTTCTTCTTCTTTTTACATATAACTTTTGTGGCATCATATTGCTGAATAATTGTTTTTTATTTTCAGCTAAATTTACATTAGATTCTATATATTTCTTTTCATATATTTCTACTTCTTTTTTTGAATCTGGTAATGCATTTGATAATCATAAAATCGATTATTTTATCAGTTAGATGATTTTTTTCACATATTTCTATTTTCGAAGAAAAAATTATCTCCAAAGACATCATCTTCCACTTCAAAAATTCTTTTAAAGCATGTATTCTTCCTGCACTCTTTTCTTTCTTACTTTTCACTTTTGAACTTCAAGAATTCTCAAATCTGATAGTACATGTTAAATTTCTATATTATAACTTTGTTAAATTTTATATTATAACTTTCTATATTATAACTTTAAGATATACTGTTTAGTTCATTGCTTTGAAAATAATCTCAAATCAATCACTTATAGACTGCACAAGTGCAATACGACTGATTCATTTATTTGCTTTTTTTTGTAGTACTAAGCTAAGAGATAGAAAAAGAAAACCGATATTGATGATTTCTTCCAACGGAAAATTAGGATTTATTTACTGAAATGAATTAACAAAATGAAATTTCGCTCTCTAAAGAAAAGACATTATTCACCAATTTTCCAGTGCACAAATAAATCTTTTTTATAACGTTACGAATGAAATTATTGCTTGCTTGAATTTATTTTGCAAACATTTCCCTATTTCATTAATGACATATATGTTATTGCAAGAATTTAGCACTTGATATAGTTTAGCTTTCAATCTCAGTAAATTTTAATTTAATAAAATATGGCTTTGTCCCAGGCTTGCTAGGATCGATTTAAATTGAGCATTTAGAGATAGAAAAATATTAATGTAGAAAAAAATATTCTTTTGGAAACGCAGATAACTGCGTTACATTATACCCAGATGCTAAATATACAAATTGAGAAATGCTGTGTCATCATGATGACATTTATCTTTCAATTTCCAAATTGGGTATTTGAGGACACAGTGGAAGTTAGCGATTATATGGAGTGACAGGAAATGTACACAAAAATGTTTCCCTTCCTGCTTAATTCTGTTTCTATACCTATCTATTCGTTTGCTTTTCTCGTTAGAATTGGGAGGCAAAATGAACGGAATGAATGTTTGGAGAAAGGCGTAAAAGACGAATACAGCAAGCAGCTGATCGATGCTTTTCTTACAATTTCCAGCTGTTCTATCGCTAGCTGTTCATTTCCGCCCAACAGGAAAAAGGCGCAAATTTGCCGTGAAATGTGAAAATATATAACGCATGCTATGTCTGTTCATCTTCGAGGCTCAAATCTCTCTTCTTTTCTTCAATATCATTCCCCGAAATCAGTTTCGTAATACCCACCCACTCCATTTTTTGATTTCAAACAAATTTCTGCTCGCACTTCTTCCTCCTTCCCACTTCTCCATCCTTCTTCACTCTTATCTTACTAACCAACTTAGTACAAATTGTAATAACACATACATATATATATATATACAGTGTATGTATGTATGAGCGTCTGATATCTCAACAATATCATATGCATCCACGTCCCTACACCCTTCCTGATGCCTGTTTGTACCACAAGACTATCTATCTTCTTGAATCTGTGCCTTGTTAATTTTTATTCTTTGCTTCTTGTGTTCGATACATGTCAGTAGAAACTCTTAGAAGGAATATTTTATTAAGCGTTTCACCAGAACTTGAAGTTGAGAAACTTGGTGACCCATCTCATTTCTTCGCATCAGATAGCGGACAACCCATCGTAGTGAACATGCAAACACACGGCGTGTTAAAATAGTGTCGTAGAGTGTATTGACTGTCAGATATTTTCTTTGCCTCAAACTTCGATATTTAAACCAAACAAATCAAATCAACGCTAAAATCAAGATTATATCAACGCGCAACGCATGGAAAACGTTTCCATGAATGTAAAACAAAGATGTGTAACAAAAGAGGATTTAGGAAGTATTTCCATGATGTAAAGCAAGGATTGGTAATTTAAATGTTTCTTTTACGACAAATAGGGATGAAAAAAAGCCACTTGAGATTGAACACGGATTTGAAATGCTTAAATGATCAGTCTGCCCAGTTAGTTTAGTACAATCAGTATGACAATAAGCCGCTTTCTTATTGACTTCTTACACTGACTGTTGTTTGAAATTCTGTTGACAGCTCCTTATGCAACCATTACCTCAGGTGACACGTCAACTGCTCATCTTCATTTTCTTTTATTGATGTCTGTGTATGTTTGTATATGCTTTTGCATGATATTTCTTTCGTTCTTATTTGCATCCATTACCGCATAACGAGTTTTATCTAATTAAACTCAATCGATTTATTCATAACTTAATCACGTTGTCCATTCTGTTAATTATCCAAGAGTTAAATTATTTATGTCACAAAAAATCCTTATTTTCGGACAAACTCTGACCCCAGCATATTATTATATCATATCACTAGAATGACCCTTTCCCATTCATCCATTTTTTGTCTTATGCGCTCTCTCTACCTGTTTTACGTGGTAACTTTATGCTTAAATGTTTCGAGCAATATTTCAGGATCAAATGCGGAACAACTCCGTCTATACACACTTCTAATGGACATTCGTTTCGGTCAAAACTTTTTTCCTCATTCATGACGATGTTTTCATCTGAATTAAATGTTTCGTCGAAAAAGCTGTCTTTCTCGCAAAGCCGCAAGTTATCTCTGCAATTTACCTTTCTTATCCCATACGTGGAAGGCAGCTTTTTGTTGTCCATCTTACAATGATCGTTAACTAATATTAGTGATTTAATAAGTCTGTAGTTGCCGGTGGAGAAGGATAATAGCCATGGAGTAAAAAGTGATTGTGGCTTAGAAGAGAGTAGCAAAATTGAAGTCATTTTTTGGGATAAAGAATAACTAGAGAGGTATAAGAGAGAAAAAAGAAGTGCAAAGAACCAACTATTATCAAAATAACTAACCCATAAGCGCATTACTAAACAAATTTATGTTTACACTTAGAAATAAAAGATATTTAATTGATAAGAAAGGAATTGAACGAAGAATGACCCAATTGGTCAATGAAGCCGTGTAATGAAGTTATTATTTGCACGGTGGTCATAGTGTTTTATTTCTCTATCTTCAGCAAATACTATAAGAATTGTTGTGGAAAGGTTATCTCTTGTTGTGGCCCAGTTAGGAAGAGGTCGAATTGTTGTTTGACCAGAGTGTGTGCAAATAGCAGAAGACTAATAAAGATGCAATGTAAAAGTTTAAAATATTATAAAAAGAGTTGGCTACTGAGTCTATGTTAGGTTAAAAATGACACGCAACGGACACTTTTCTCTCTTTTCAGATCCAAACAAAATTTATGTCAATTTGACGATATTTTAACTTTTTTTTGTCCATTTTGTTCGCTTATTCCTAGTTGTTTTACACAACAATGTAATCAGTTCTAAATTTCTTGAATTTATTTCGGCTAATAACGATGCATAGTTTAAAAGAAAGAATAGATGATAAATTGGGATCAGATTTTTAGGTTAAAGTTGATTTGATATTGCATTCGTCTTCTCATCCTTTGTCCTTTTCATTTAAATGTTGATCTGTCATCAAGATTGACCCTCTGTTGTGCAACATTGTCAATGTTACCGCAATTATTAACACAAGCCGAGACAGTTATAAAACATAAATTTCATGTAGACAAGTCAAATGCGGGTCATGAAATGCATCATTCACTCACATGCCTTATTCAGATTAACCACTTATTTTCATTTCTTGACCAATAAGGGCAATATTTCTATTTGTTGTTTCTTGTGAAGAAATTATGAGATGAATTTAAACGATGTCCTTCAATTACGTTCATTAATTAATTATCCATAAATGGATGCTAGCTAATCATAAAAGGAAGTGCAGCAAAGTTCAAACCGGAGACAAGATGGTGGAATATTACCAGCAACTACCTCCAAACAATTATAATTATAAGCAGCAGCCTGGTTACGATTACACGCAACAGGAAGAGGAGTGGGATCGTGAAGGATTGCTAGATCCGGCTTGGGAGAAGCAGCAAAAGAAGGTTTGAATACCTAATGATTGTCGTTTAAATTTAAATTCAAATTTTTTTGGCCATACTTTAATGTCAATATGAATTTAACGCCAGTACATTAGATCCAAACTTTTAGTTCATAATTACAACCCTTATTTCTATGATCCCTAGAAATATTTTAAATCATTTTGTAGACATTCACAGCATGGTGCAACAGTCATTTGAGAAAAGCAGGCACTAGTATCGATACCATCGAGGAAGACTTCAGAAATGGTACTTTGAGATTTCATAGGTTTTCGAATTTCAACTGCTTAAATGAAGAAATAAGAAATCTTGTGCTCTTCATCTCTTTTACAGATTAATCATAGGATGGGGCTATTTTTAAAAATTAGTTTATTAAATAAGAAAAAATTTCGTGAATTGACAGATCAATTTTATCAAATAATTCAGGTTTAAAACTGATGTTATTATTGGAAGTGATATCAGGTGAAGCACTGCCACGACCCGATCGTGGGAAAATGCGCTTTCATAAAATTGCAAATGTCAATAAAGCCCTGGAATACATCGAAAGCAAAGGCGTTAAATTGGTTTCCATCGGTGCAGAAGGTAATTTTAAATCTTTAAATTTATCAATACAGCAAGGTTTCATTTTTGCTGCTTCCTCGTTTATCATGAATGGATAGATTTATGACACCTTTAATTGTAATTATTAGCAGCTATTTTAGAGATAATAAAACTTAAGATAAAATTAGTTGGAAGTATGTTTCATTTTGAGCGCACCCGTAATTGTAAACGTTTCTTTTTTCATAAGCTTCTGAAAATTCTTAGAAATTGTCGATGGAAATGTCAAAATGACTCTTGGTCTTATATGGACCATTATTCTTCGATTTGCAATTCAGGATATTAATGTTGAAGGTTAGTTTTCATATTACATTTCGTGAAATCATAATTAAAACGATCAAATTAATTATAATAAATTTTTTTTTTGCATAATTGAGACATAAAGACTGTTTTATACTGTGTTAGGAAAGATATCATTCTAATCAAATAAAGTTTGGAATCATAATTTGCTTCAATTCAAATCAATTCATTTGGAAGGAATGAATCAGACGTTAAGCTATCTGAATAAGGGTTTATATTTACCACCAAAATCTTTTTCATTTCCTTAAAAGAAATGTTTAAATTAAAAAAAATCCGAAGTGATACCAAATTTTATTTTGGAATTATCGGCTCGTGACGGATTACTGCTGTGGTGTCAGAGGAAAACAGCACCTTACAGTAATGTCAACGTACAAAATTTCCACACCAGGTGAGGAATTTTTTTTTATGAAGAATCCATTATTAAAGATTTATGTGGGATTTATTCTTTCTTGCTCTTAAATAAAATCATATACATATATTGTTACAATTCAATAGTTTTCTATGAATTATAAATGTTTCAGCTGGAAAGATGGATTAGCATTTTGTGCTTTGATCCATCGTCACCGTCCAGAATTGATTGATTATTCAAAGTTGCATAAAGGAGATCCACTTCACAATTTGAATCTTGCTTTCGATATAGCCGAAAAATATTTGGACATCCCAAGGATGCTCGATCCTGAAGGTTTACTTTTTGCTCATTCGATATAAGGAAAACTTGATAAAGTTTCATTTAGTGTAACCTAGCAGCTTTTATTAATTATTCTTAAAACAAAGATAGTTCACAGAAGTTCTCGGCGTGGATAATAAAGTCTTCAGATCTCGTCTACAGTCAAAAGCCGGATGAAAAATCGGTTATGACATATGTGTCATGCTTCTATCATGCATTTCGTGGTGGTCATCAGGTTTACAGCTTTTTGCTTCAGTGGTGGTTTCTTGAGTGTTTATGCGTGTATAATATGTATGTGTATTTGTTTGTTCCATCCGGTTTTTAATAAAACCGTTTATTGGGATAGCAGTGCTTTGTTAAATCGTCCCCGACATTTATCTATTGTTTGTTTTAGTTTTCGACATTTGCTTAATAAAATTAAAATCATATTAATTGCAATCAGATATTTTACTTCGTGTTGATTTGTGTGTTTGATAGTGTGTTTCAGTTGAACTTGTCATAAGAAAGGTTGTGACAGGTTTCGCTTCATCCTTTTTGATCTTCAAGAGGAGTTAAAAAGTTTTAACTAGTAAAAAATCATCATTCTATGAAAAACATTTAACAAAAAAGGAAGTAATTCATTTTGGGAAAAGTTATGTCGGCTGCGTAACTAAATTCTTTTTGGTAAAGAAAATTAGTAATTTGAGCCAATTATTATTGAAAAAAAAATGACTGTAAGTAAAAGGAATGAAATGACTTATCAAGGGAACATTTTTGTACATAACATCGTTTTGTTTAACCATTCAGTAATGCTTGTTTTCAAAAACATTTCTATTCACCAAAACAAAACAAATAGCTTGCAGACATGGTAAGCAATGTGCCTGATGAGAAAGCGGTGATGACCTATGTGTCCAGCTATTATCACTGCTTCCTTGGCATGCGCAAGGTGTGCGCTTCGTCCTTCTTTGATTATTCTTTGTTCATTAATGCATGTATCAACGTGTATCTATTTTAGTTAACAGTAATACAAACTTATTGGAAATGCATGTTTACGATTTTTTTTTTGTGTATGTGAAAAGCTTTAGTTTATCAAAAAGTAATAGAATTTTTATAGGCTGAGACAGCAGCACATCGTATAAGTCGCGTGCTTAAAGTGAATCAAGAGAATGAGAAGATGATGGCTGATTATGAACGGATGGCAAGCGATGTAAGTAGTGATAAAAATGATTTATTTCTTTAAGAGTGGTCTTGATTAACTCCGCGGAGGTTATATCATTTTAATTTAAACATTAAGTAGTAGTTAATTACAAGAAGAGTTATATCGAAAGGTTTGTAATTAAATCTTTCTATGGAATTTGTAGTGGAGCCTTGGAAGATTTTTTAGCTTTTGGATTGGATACGTCGTTGGATGCCATGGTTATCGAATCGATCAAGTAACGAATCATTAGACACGATACGCAAGAAGTTGGATGACTTCCGAAATTATCGTCGGCATGAGAAACCACCAAGAGTGGAGGAAAAAGGAAATTTGGAAACACTTTTCAACACATTGCAAACGAAACTTAGATTAAGCAATCGACCAGCATTTCTGCCAAGAGAAGGACATCTTATTAAAGTAAATTATTTTTTTTTCATACTAACAGGTAACTTCTGGAATTATGAATTTAAAAATCAGCTGTTTGCTAGATAATACAAAGTTTGTTTTAGGATATCAGTGTTGCTTGGCGTGGTTTGGAAGATTCTGAAAAAGGTTTCGAAGAATGGCTTCTAAGCGAAATGATGAGGTGATGTGCCCTGAAAGATTCACCTCATCAACCAAAGTACCAGTTCTGAGTTCACAATTAAATTACTCCTACTTGAGCCATCAAATTTGTCTTTTCATTTTTTTCATTCAAAAGTTGCAGACTAGAAAGACTAGAACACCTTGCCGAAAAGTTCCGTCGTAAATGTGCTCTATATGAAGAATGGGCATACGGCAAAGAGGATGCCTTACGTTCATTGGATTGGCGATCTTGCGGTTTGTACAAGATTAAAGTAAATTACTCATTGAATTTTAAAATATCCACCTTCATATCTAATTTAATGGGAATTTCAATCTTTCTGTATGGCATACTTTTTATCGAAATTCTTACAATATCAAGGCCTTACGCAAACGTCATGAAGCATTTGAAAGCGATCTGGGAGCTCATCAAGACAGAGTGGAACAAATTGCAGCAATCGCTCGTGAACTAAACAATTTGAGATATCCAGACATCAGTCCGATTAATAGCAGATGCCAGGTTCATTCGAATCCTATATAAAATTGAACTGTTCACTGACTGATGATGGAGTGGAATTCTTGGAGATTGATTGCAAGAAAAAATATTTCCATTGCAGAATATCTGCGACCAATGGGATCGTCTCGGAAGTCTTTCTCAGCAGCGGCGCAGACAGCTCGAAGAAGCGGAACAGACAGCGGAATATCTGGACAGACTGTATCTTGATTTTGCTAAGCGTGCAGCACCGTTTAACAACTGGTAAACACATGAGATAGCGAAGGGATGAATTGCAAAATGTTTTCCCTTACTAAATTCTAAATATAATTTGTAATTAGGCTTGATGGAGCTCGTGAAGATCTAGCTGATATAGTGATTGTTCACGAGATGAAGGAAGTGAAGGAACTATTGGATGCACACAATCATTTCAAATCAACAATATCTGACGCTGATAATGAATTCCGAGCGATCGTCAATATTGAACGTGTATGAATTCTTAGACTTGATAATCAGACTGTATTTGTTCTATTTCTAATCTACAATCTTTGTCTGCTTTCGCATATTTATTCTAATTCACAATTCAAAGGTCATTTTATTTATCTTAGTCATTACAGAAGCAAAAGACATGGAATAATCGGCGGGAAAATAATTTTCACCCGTATTTCGGATGGAAGTTCAAATAATATTTCAGGAAATTGCTCAGTTAATTGAACAACATGGATTGGACAGAGAATTACTGAGAAATCCTTATACTGATTTATCAGGTGCTGATATTCGTCGCAAATGGCAAGAAGTACAACAGTCAATACCAAAACGTGACGCGCAATTGCAAAATGAATGTCATCGACAACAAAGAATGCATTTTTATTCCTTAGAAAATAAATGAAAGTAAATGAGCTGTCACCGCTGTCATCACATAAATGGCTTTGTTGACAGAAGTGGTTAATTACCGTAATGAACTGAAAATAAATCTTGTCATTATTGTCAATTTAACAATATAATTGTAAGTAACAAAAATGTTTTCAGATAACGAACGATTACGACAACTATTTGCTGAAAAGGCCAATACAGTTGGTCCATGGCTTGAACGACAGCTTGAACACGTTTTATCGATTGGGCTCGGTGGACGTGGAAGTCTGGAGAATGCAGTATCACAACTGAAATCAATTCAACAGCAGGTATTCATGTTTCGATTTTCACTTACATGCACAGATCCTTGTCATTGCTAACACCAAATATTTTACTTAGCTGATAAAGTTATGCTCGCGTAATTTTTTATGTCATTAAAGACATTCAACTATAAGCCGAAACTGGAAGAATTGGAAAGAATAAATCAGGAAATGCAAGAGAATTATGTCTTTGAAAACCGCGCGGCTCGTTACTCCATGGAATCATTACGTGTTGGTTGGGAATCACTATTAACATCCATCAACAGAACAATTAATGAATGTGAAAATCAGGTAGACATATCTGTTTATGTGTTTCTAAAATTTCATAGCTGCCGAAGAGTAATTAGGAGAGCGATAGGAGTTGAAGGTTTAATGGAGGAAATTTTGGAAATATATAAAGTTTATTTTTGTTTTTCAAGATTCTAATGTGTAACAGTAAAGGAATCAGCGAAGAACAGCTAAACGAGTATCGCTCATCTTTCAATCATTTCGACAAAGATAGACAAGGACTCGATCCTGAACAGCTCAAATCATGCCTTATTTCAATTGGCTATAATATTCGGCCTGGAAAAGAAGTACTGAATTTCAAATAGTTTTTCCATTTAAAATTTGTAGAACTGCTTTTGCAAATTTTTGAATATGTTTGCTTTCTCAGGGAGACCAAGACATGAGCAGAATATTATCCGTGTTGGATCCGAATCGTATGGGAAGAGTGCCATTTAATGCGTTCTTGGATTTCATGACGCGTGAAACGGGTGATGCTGATACCGCCGAACAAATGATCGAATCATTTAAAATACTTGCCGGAGGAAAGGTTAGCATTTTGAAATGTGATTTGCAAATCTTTCTTGCCATCCAATTTCACTGGCTGATATAGTGTAGATGAATGACTTTTTAGCCATATATAACCGCAGAAGAGATTCGTCGCGAATTGCATGCAGATCAGGCGGAATACTGCATACAAAGGATGCAACAGTTTCAAGCATCAAATGGTCCACCTGGTTCCTACAACTATGTTTCGTTTAGCAGAAGTTTATACAACTACTGAACTTCTCCTTCATTACGACAGAAGTTTATTTCTTTATTGCTCCGTGACTGTTTGTGATCATGAAAGGTGGGAATTGATTTGACGAGCCACTTTACGTCAAAGTCAAAGGAGGTTCATCGCTTCCCATAAAATGTTTTCGCTTTGATGTCGTGCGGTGGAAATCGAGTAGATATTCGTAAATTTTGCCCGCATACTTTTAGGTCTCACATCGGCTTTAGTTAACAAAAACAGATAGATGTTTTTGAAGGATAATTTACAGAAAAATTAATCATTTTGTTATGATATTGATTTCTTACATTTAATAATCTAATATTTCATAAAAATTCCTCGAAAAGACGAAGTTGCTGGAATTGTTGAGAAAATTGAGTTGTTTCTTCTGTTTCCAGTTTACCAGTCGAGTGATGTTTCAAAAATTTTCGAATTTTTCTGTGAATAAACAAACTAATTAAATCAACTACTCGTTTTCTTCTGTTTAAAATATGCATGATTGCAGTGAGAAATTATAAGATACTGCCAGATGCTTGTTGTGAAGTAAATAAATTATACGACTTTATTTGACGACAAATAAAATTAACTTACTCGACGATACAAATTTCGGAATAACTATCCGAATTTGAAATTCTTTAGAAATATTTCTCCAACTTAAATCCTAATTTTTTGAGTTTTGATCACTTACTTTTTTGCTGTTCCGCAGCAGCTTATCAGCTTGAATACTAAAAAGAACCAAAGAGAAATATTTTGTTATTTTAGAAATATTTGCTTATAAAACAGATTTTTTTTATCCATCTTTGAGCAAACAGGAAAAAGTACATAGCTTTAAGTAACTATATTTTTAACGCTTATGAAATTTTCAAAGTTTCATCACTGTTTAATATATAATTGAACTGTTTTTTTAATAAGGTCGTTCATTTTCAATTTTGCTGATGGTTTGTATAATGCATTATTGGATATTGTTTTACAAATCTTTTCTATCATGATAATATGACCTTGTCACTTAATCATGATGGGATATGATCGAAGCGAACCATTTCACTAATTTTTCCTAAATTCTAATGTTGCTATCTGAAATAGTGAGCAAGGAAAACGTTAGTTGGAAGTACAAAGATAACGACACATCTATCTCAAGTTAATTAATAGTTTCGGTTAGCTCAGACTCTGCTGTTTATTTAAAACAAGTTTTACATGCTTGTGTCTGTATTTTAGTTACAAAAAGATGCATTACTAGTGATTTCGACCCATGATGTGAATAAAATTTTCAAATATTCTACTTATGAAATTCAATCGATGGTCTTATTGTAGCTGTAACATTTGTTCGATTTTTCATAAACCTTTTTGTCTTTTTCGAAAAATAAACATTGCGGTTTGAGGTTTTAATAAGCTAAAAGTTAAAGGCAACGAAGCAAATTTTTATCAGTACATCTATTTCCATACTTAAAACAGATGAGAAGTTTTATAATATTCGCTCAGAAGTTAGTTATAACTCCAAAATTTGCAATTATCGAAAAACTGTAACTATAGAATATTAGTACTGCATTATCAAACTTCTATCATGAGAACTTGTATACTCATCGTGTTTATCAGAGTTTCATTAAAATATTTAACATGGAATACTCAATTCGGTCTGAAGATCATAAGAGTGAAGGAAATATTGAAATTTAGTGAGAGCTTATTTGCTGAACATCTCTCTATAAAACGAACAGTGTATACAATTCCATTTGCAGACAAAGTTGATAGTTTTGCTGTGTTCTGTTGGTAAGGGCCTTGATGTGATGATGGAAAAGTGCGTTAATTCCTTCGAGGTCATCATTGTCTTTATCATCTTCATCGTTCTCGTCGTCATTGTCACTACTATCGCTAGTGACGAATTAAGATGAACTCAAACTTCGTCTCTTTTTCATCTACTAACGGAAAATTCAGGTCAAAACGATCCTCGTTGTTTGCTCTTTTACGAATGCACAGAATATGTTATTCTGCTTTATGTCGATACACAGATTGGATTTCAATTCATTTCTTATCATTAAAACAAAATGGTTTGCTGGCTTATAATTCTCTCCCTCTCCCTCTCCCTCTCTCTCTCTCTCTCTCTCTCCCTCTTTCTGTCACTACTTTTACATTTATTTAAATCCATGATATCAATGATTTTCAGTTATCAAGGAACGAATTTGTTCTTCACTGTATAATGATGCCATTTTTTAAATTAAGTTTGAAGAAGAAAATAATTACCTCGAAAAAGTTATCGATAAAAGATTTGCCCTTCACTATGTTTTGCCTTTCACTTCTTCAAAAAAACAAAATTAATCTATCAATCCATAAAATCATTAATCATCTAATCAACATTACGCGGTATTCAACGAATTTGAATACAATTCGAATCTTTTAAGCATGACTAAATCTATTGCCATCTGGATGTATTTTTTATTCTGAATTAGCATTAGTAGTATCTTGTCTACAGAAAGAATAAAGAATATCTTCCATTGACTTCTTAATGTTGTGATAAAGACATCACATAAAATTCAAACTAATTAATTAGTAATGATTTTTTGTATTGCTATTTTTCAGAATGATATGCACATGCAATAAGCGATGCTAATTTTGAATCATATTTCATTATTTTAGGCATATATCACTTATTTTCATCAATACATCATTAATCTATTTATTTATTAGAAGTACTTTTTACTCTTCATTTTTAATTGTTTCCTTGGACATTTCACTATTACTATACTTTGGAGAACAAAACTTTTCCAGTTAGCTTATTGTTAAGCATACCTGAATTTTTTCATCAAATTACTTTGTAATTTCTTTCTTCATAATTCGTTTTCTATGAGATGGATTTTTTATTATTTGTAATAAACATGTCCAATTCTTATTTTATTATCAATCCAGAATTCAGAAGTACTTCTGGCTCATTAATGCAAATGTCAAATGAAATTTTCATCAATCATCGACTGAATTAGTGGAGAAATTAAGGCATAGCTGCTTTTCTTTTTCAAACTTAATTCAAAAAGGTAAAACAGATGCTTATCTGTGGAAATTCCTTCTATTAGTTAAATATTTGTTTCATTTGAAGATCTATTAACCATATGAAAAGATGATAAAATATATTGATATATAAAAAAATGTAAATTCAATTTATAAATCAGTATTAGATCGATTGAAATGGGTTTCCTGAAAAATGGCTATTTTTTAAGCAATAAAATGAAAAATGATCACATGAAATTATGTAAATCAGTTAATTCTTAAGGAAAATAAATTTGATGTTAATAAGGAGAGCAATAAAAATGCATCGTGGATTATTTGAGATTGAACAGTTGACAAAATCTCAGTAATGCGTCCTGATAACCCAATATTATCTTTATGACCAGATATTCGGTTGTTTTCCATTATTGCATTCCTTTCGCTTTGTAATTTCATTTATAATCTCTTTAATAAAATTTTAGTAGCAAATGAAGCAAATTTTCTCTTAATTAACTGATCATAGAACTTGACTGATTTTTGTCTCAGAGTATCAATAGTCAATCTTTTCCCATGATAAAATTCTGGGGCGTTAAATATTAGCTTAATCTGAAATTTGGATGACTTAATTTTCATACTATCAGTGTGTCAGTTATCTACTGGAGTGCAATCTTTAGAGCATCGATCGAGTAAGTTAGAAACAATTGCGGTTCAATATGTGAGCATTTAATACGTAGACATTGACATTATTCAATTCTAGTTCAAATTCCTTCCGTGTTACGTTTACTCGTGGAATAGTACTCATCGACATAATTCTGAAGTGTTGAAATATCTGATAGATTTATCGGGCGTCATATGCGCATTCGTACAATCTGACAACTGTATGAATGCGCTCCTGCAACTTTCTGCCCCCTACTGCTGCAACACATCTTCGTTCACCTCTTCCTTCACTTCCACCACTGATTTACACACACTTCTGTGCTGCTGGAATTTCAAGGTGGTTTCAAAAAAATGTCATCTCTCCAAAGAGAAAACATCGTATCATGTTAATATGTCTACCAGTATACATTCATTTCTGCATTTCTTCTGCTAAATGACCTAAATTATTGAAGGAATCATTTCGTATGGCCTTCTCAATATTATCACTAGTTTAAAGTAAAAAGAGCAAATAAAATATGAAATGATTGTGACAGTAATAAAAGTAAAGAATGGAATGTTATGCTAGTAGAGTTATGAAGGAAGCTAAGTTATACACAGAACCACACATCTTCACAACAGTCGTCAATCCTATCTTTCACGACCGCTAATTAAGAAATAACTTCATTTCTAATCAATGTATAAATAATAGTTGCAAAAATTTCAGCTGTTTATATGTACGCTCAAATATGGTACCATCTCACAACCACAGTTTTGAAATTCGGAAAGTAAGTAATAATACGATTTGCAATAATATATTCAGCATGGATGTTAGATTTAAAAAAAAAAAAAGATACTTTATTTTCCTGCTCTTTATGCTATTAAATATCATTTTTTTCCTCAGTTTCATTTCTAAAAATATACCACCATAATTGGAATCAAATGTTTTAAATTTATGACAAATTCTTTCATTCAAAATATTAAAAAAAAGATAAAACTTCCTTTGAAACGAAGATACTGATTAAGCGAAGATGAATCATTTTCTGTTTAACTAAATCAAGTCTTCACTAGTGTAGAAATAAAAAAATAGAAGATATGAATAGGCCAAGATATAATTTATCTTGAATAAATTTCAAAATGGAAGAATTTTTATCATATAAAAGTTGATACAAAATATCATCAGAGATTTCAATTACACACACCAATCAATGACTATTCTTTTTAACTGATCTTTTGAAAATTTCGCATTTTGTGTAAATAATTCTTTTGTACGGTAAAAACGATGATGCATTCTTATCGTATATCATTCTAAAAGTCTATTTTGTATCAACTTTTTTACTAAAATCAGGGTTTATTTATTTAAAAGAGGTATTAAATTCTGCAGATGAAGGCGTCGCAGTAATGGGTTT